GTAAAATGTATCACAGTAAATGACGCACTAACATCTAGAGTGCAGCTGCGGCGATCGGCAACAACCCAAATCACTGATCGTGATCATAGCCCAAAATAGGCGCTAGCCAATACTCGACAGTCTCCACGGATTCTCCTTTTCTTCGAGCATAGTCCTCCACCTTAAAACAAAACAATCTCAATTACATAGGTAAACACATGAATAAATTTTGATTAACGAATCAAAATGAGCCCGTTAAATCTGTAAAATTTATCTGAATCTGAAACGATCTCGTTAAATTTGACGAAAGTAACGGCAAAAGTAATTCCATCCTCTATAACAAAAATAAACAATCAAAACCTGATCCTTGTTGATTTTCCCCACCGCGAAATATTTCGAATCCGGATGCGCAATGTATAGACCACATACTGATGCTGCCGGCTCCATTGCGTACGTTTCAGTCAACTGAAAATCAACAATTAGCACAATTAGCAAACAATATTAACAATACTAAAACAATACTAAACCCTAAAAATAACACCAAATGACTACCTTAATTCCGCACAACTTCTCCGCATCCATCAAATTCCACATAGTCCTCTTCTCGGTATGGTCTGGTTGAGTGGGATAGCCCGGGGCAGGCCTGATGCCCTCATACTTGATACTCAATAAATCTTTTACACACATACCGCTCTCTTCGGTCGAATAACCCCACAACTCGGTTCGCACCTATTACTTATCATTATTATTATACAATAAAGTAAAAATAACAACATCATTAACACCTCCAGCTAATAGAACAAGCCAAGCCAAGTCACAGCCTCTCTCAAGCCTACAACACCCATATTTGCTACCCACGCGCTTTCAGACCAAACTTCGATCCCTGTTCGCAGACGCCAGATTCGAATACCGCTCGCAAATTCATCCCCTGTTCGCATCTTCGACCTCCGTTCGCAAGTTCGAATCCCGCCCACGTCAGCCAATTTTTTTCGCATTTCTCAGTAAGAATAACAATAAAACAATAAAAATAACAAAAAAAACATTGAAAATAAGACTCAAAAGAACCTTCATGTGCAGATATTCAGCCATCGCCTCTGACAGACGATCTGCCAACGCTTTCACCTGCAAATACCTTAATAAAAACCAAATAATCACACAAAACTACTAAAAACAACACTAAAAACAAACCATAATGCTCGAGTAATCGTCCATGTTCTCCTTCTCGAGTACGTCACAATACTCCTTCGCCCCGATTCCAGCCGTACACGCGAACATCCCGATATAATCGAACTTGCCATCGTTCAAGCTATCCCGTTTCATGAAAAAATCCGACAGGCACAGGCATTCTTCGCCATATTCCTTATCGCATTGCTGCCGGAGACCGTATAATCTGCAATTTTTTAATAATTTCTTATAAAAACAACCAAATTATAACAAATACAATAATAATAATAATAATAGTAAAACCCACGTAGCACAATGCTGTTTGCTCTCACTATCAAACAGTAAAATGTCGTCGCCTTCTGCACAACATTCCGTAAACGACAGCACAGCGGATCCTTTCAAAATATTCTCATCAATCAGTTTATGAAGCATCTTTTGGGCATCCTGCAATAATAACAATCACAACAAAACAATAAATATACCCAAAACCCCTCGAAACACACCTTGAAAAGTTTCTTCGCCTCGTGTCCCACATCCTTATCGTCGAATATCCTCGGATATCCCCTGTTCGGATACTTCCCTCTCAGCTGCCAAACGTCGAATAACGGTTTCCAGTCGATGTACTCCACCAAAATATTCAAATCGAACTCGTTGAACGCTCGAGAGCCCAGGAATTTCGGCGCAACTGTACTCATTTATATCATTATTATCATCTCTCTCATCACAAATACAACCAAAAAAACAAGCCCCTACCTGGTGTATAACAGCTGAAATCCACCTTCGCCACCCTATTTCTGGCCTCGTCCAAT